TCTGTCGGCTAAAACACTGGACAGCAACTTATAAGTAACATTGAGAAGAGAGATAGGTCTCCAATTTTTCAAGAATTCTCTTGGTTTATTTCCCTTTGGAATTACAGAAATTATGCCCTGAGTTTGAGTCATTGATAGACATCCTTTATTATAACTACAGGTAAATGAATTTATCAAAAATTTGCATAAATCAGACCAAAAAAATTTAAAAAACTCTGTAGTGAATCCGTCTGTTCCAGGAGTTTTGTTATTTTTCATATTTTTTAAAGAGTTTAAAATTTCAGACTGGGAGATATCATTATCTAAAAGAGATTTTGTATCATTGCTAAGTTTGGGAACTTCGCAATCCACTAGAACATTGTTTAGGTTAACATCAATTAGTGAATCATCTAGATTTCTATATAAAGATTGATAGAAGTATTTAAGGTTATCTAAAATTTCTTTCTGATTAACAATTGAATTACCTCTACTGTCAATGATTTTTGTTATATTTTTATTTACATAGTTTCTTTTTTCCAGAGCACAAAAATATTTTGTTGGTTTTTCACCGTCCTCGATCCATTTACTATGTGTTCGTATCAATAGTCCTTCAAGCTCATATTTTCTGATATTTTCAAGTTCAACCTGAAGATCATTCAGTAAATTTCCATAAATTTGAAGATGGTGCATGTTAAACATCTCATGCATAAATTTAATTTGTTTTTGAAGAAGTTCTTTCTTTTTTTTCTCTCACAGGATTTTTTACTGGAAAAATAAATTGCAAACTCTCTAATTTTCATTAAGATAATTTCTAATAATAAATTGTCATCAATTGCTGGTGATCTATATTCACCTACCAAGTATTCTACCTCAGTATCAGAAATAATTTGTTTGACCTTCTTAACAAAGTCAAGATCTTTCAACAGAGAATTATTAAAGCGCCAAAAACCTCTTCCTTTTGAAAAATTGTCAAATCTTAGTTGAAGTTCAATAATTGAATGATCTGTTCTATATCCTGGGAGAATTGCTGCTGTATCAAGTGTTGACATAAGCTCTTCTGATATTAGAAAAAAATCTAGCCTAGCCTGCTTAATGGGAGATTTTTTAGCCCAAGAGAACATTTTTACATTTGGGTTGCAAATGCGCCATGGGTCAACTAAATTAAATCTATTCTTTAATTTTTCTACTTCCAATTTACTTTTCAGATTATTTTCACGTATGTAGTTGTAACAGTCAAGATCATAATTTGGTACAAGATTCCAGTCTCCACAGACTATAATAAAATCATCATCAAACTCATCAATGATATTTCCAAGATCAATATAAAAGTCAGGATTATCTTTATTTGGGCCATATAGATTTACTAGTGTAATAGAATATCTATTGTCAATAAGGATACTTGAAACAATATAATTTCCAAGGGAATCAAGTTTGAATTTTGAAACTTTAATTTCTACTTTGTCATTAAAAAGTGTTAAAATTCCTCTCGAATCACTAGACCCTGGGCACATCAAAAAATCAAGGCCCCATTGTGAATAAACAATATCTCTCTTATTATCTGTACAATGTGTGTCTTGTAAGCAGTAAAATGTTGCATTATGTTCTCTTAAATATTTGAAAACATCCTTCCTTTTACTATGATCGTGTAGCCCTCTACAATTCATGGAAATAATTTTAAGCTTACTAGCCATACTTATTATACAGAATGAAACATGGACACAACATACACATATTTACATACGTACACAGCTCAATCATTATAGACTGAAAAATAAAAAAAACCACAAGCTTCCTGCATATGCTTAAAAGGAAACATGAAAAATAATGGAGAGAGAGAGGAAAAAATTCAACATATTGTGTATGTTGGCTGCTTGAAAAAGTTGATTATGCATCAGTATATTTGATCCAAACTGTGTCTGTTGGCTTGCGATATTGTAGTTCCACATCGGTCTTTCCCTCAATGATTCGAGTTTTGAGTCCAGCGCGTCTCAACTTGTATGCTTGTTGGGAAAGGATACTACGTTTTTTCTTCAAATGACTAGGTAGGTCCGTTCGCACAGCTTTTCCTTTCGATAAATTACTGTTCCGGGCCTTCATTAGGATGGCGTTACGGTCTTCCATTCGGGCGAACTTCACAATTATGGCCTCAGGCGCTGACTCTTGGTAAGAGTTGATAGACGTGTTGTTTGGGTTTCTTGGGATACGGTGAGTATTCTGGATAATAATTGATTGAATGCTCTCCTCGTCTATTCCTAATTCGTCAGCAAAAAACTTTCTCACCACTTCTGTTACATTTTCTTTATCTCTTTTCTCCACACCATATATAAGCACATTGTACTTCCTTGACCTGGTTTCTTGGTAGGTAATATAGTTTTTCAATTCCTCTACTTCAACCTCAAGTTTTTCAACTGCTTTAAGTTTTGACAGAGAAGTCTCCATATCCGTTAATCTGTCGTCTTGACTTTGGACAGCTTTGTCGAGGTCATCCATTTTCTCTTTGAAAGCACAGAACTTATCATCGATAGACTTGTTCATAATCGTAAGTCGCTCCTCAATATTCTTTTCCATCGTTTTAAATAACTGTGTCATCAGTTCTTTGAGATCATTGTTTGAAATATCACATTTCTCACCTTTCTCATCCTTCTCGCCAGCTCTTCCCGCGTCTTTAGATTTGGTCCGAGTTTCCTCTGTCGAATTCTTCTCCGACTCTTTTAAAAATTGGTCTAATGCGCCTTTCTGGACTTTCTGGCTGCTTTTACCTTTTCCCGGCATATTTTGTGGGAACACAGCAAACCGCAACTGATCGTAATAGACCTTCAGCCCGTTAAATAAAGAAAACTTTCTCTCTCGACGCTCGACACGTCTACATCGTAGACAAGCACGCACCGGAAGTCTCCACCTTCTAAATCTTCATTATCTGCAAAATCAATAATATCTTGAATAAATCTATTGGTATCACTTATGTTTTTCCCCTTTACAAAACCTTTTTGATCTGGGTGTAATAGTTCAGGCTGGACAGATTTTAATCTCTCTTCAAGTATTTTTGCTATTATTTTGTAGTGTGTATTATGCAATGGATATATGCCAAATACTGTTCTATATAAAAAATTATCAGACTGTTTGAGGCCCGTTAGGGTCGAAAACAATCTGATAATTTTACATATAGAACAGTATTCGGCATATATCTTTCTTAAAACATTGCCATTTAAATGTCCAAAAGTTACCTGCAGGAGTCCGATAATAACACAATAGGAGTTTATGCATCAATAGTTTTCTTCCTGAAACCATATAGTACTAGACAAAAGAAAAGAAAAAGCGGGTTTTTTTTCTTTAGACAGTAAAAACAGTGAGTGAACTCTTGTTTCATTCATTCATTCATTTATTCATTCATTCAATGACAGTCGTTTAGTGTAGTAGGAACTATCGACAGTGTTTAGGTGATGAAAGAATTTTTTTATGATTCGGAATATTTTTTTATTAAGTGCGTTTGACATTGATTCAGACACCGTGTTGGATGATATCATCATAATGCATGGAAAGTAAAAATATGGGGTTTTATTTAAATTTTTGGTAGAGTGATAGAATGAAAATCTTGAGTTTAAAAGTGCGGCCATCGGCAAACAATCCTCGTTATAAATGACAAGATTCAAAGATTTTTTTTCAGAAATGGATTAAAATTCGCTTATTTACAGTACTGTTTCGAAAACGCTCAGCAAAAATCCCAATGGAAAGTGTTACTTTTAAGGAGGGTTAAAATTCGATTTCTTCTTCATGGATTTGCGTGGTATTTTGTAGCAACTTAATTTCCTTGCGTTTGCTTTCCCTGAATTTTTTTCCCCGACTTTTTTTCTGGACATAATAAACCTTGATTTTACTCTACATGTTGTTTTTTTTTTTAATACTGTCCGATTTTGTTATCGCTGCCGTCCGATAATATGTTAATGGACTGGTAATTATTATTATCGGACGGCAACAGGTAATTTTTTAGATTGCAAGAACAATGGCATGACGTCACAGCAGTGTTTTAAACATTGTTAAAGGACTCCAATTCTTAAAGACTTAACGTTCTCCCCCTTTATGTATTAAGAGATAATAAACCTTTGTTTGTGACTCGCACAATAAACTCTGATTAAAATATATTTAATTATCCAGCCCTGCAGATCCGTATCAGCTCTGCAGGGTCACTAGTAGCCCTGGCAACTTAATTATAAGACCATTTTGACTCAAGGCAGTAATATATGGAGTTGTTGGCGTAATCATGAATTAGCGCTACACATGTCCGCGCCGTGTATTGTATTTTTCAATGAATTAGTGCATCGTTGCCCGCGCCAAAGCCGCTAGAATATAAAGCTCGCTTTTTTAAGTACATATACAGTATGCAAAAGACCTGTATTTATAACCAAGTGTGTATTAGAGTTTAGCGCTGAGCTAATAGAAAAAAAACTCTTAATATATTACTTTGAATCATTCGATCTATTGTCAATTGTTGATTTTTCCTCGAATAATTTTAACATTTCCAATAACTCTATGAAAAAATGATTTCAATTTTTTTTTTCATCAGGAATGACGTCTTTGCTCACTATTAACTGTAAACGTATAGCATTTGCCTGTGTAAACTTTTTAGCGCTTTTGGCGAGAGAAAGCATCTGCTTAATCAAGGACATTCAGAAATGCACTAAATATAATCTACCCTATTTTTAAAAATAAATTAAATGCCGACAAATATTGTACACGTTTAATAAAATTTACAGTTATCATAAAGGTGGTTCTTTTTTAGATTTCTAGAGATAAGTACATTCAGGTGTAAAGAAGAATAATGACTCCCATAGAATAGTTACCAAGGGTCATTTGTTCGACTTCGAAAAATGACTTCCGATCATATTTCTATGAGGGCCATTATCCGTCTTTACACCGTTAATTCAATATAAATCCAGATGATTGCATAAATTATGTCATTTTGACACTTCGATATAAATAAATAATTTTCTTCAGAAAAAGTAATAATAAAAACATTTTTGTAGAGGTCTTTCAGTTTCATTGCCGACAACTATAAATCGGAGAAAAGAAAATTGGTTCTTGAATAGCATGTATTGTAACGGAAATGAAGATTCCCTGTTAAAATGTGCAAGGTCTATATCCACCAGCTGTAACTCTGAAGCTGGAGTTCTGTGTTACCAAACATTAAATAGTGAGTGTTCAGATTTGTTCACTAAAGAAAACTTAATTCCACTTTGTAAATCTATCAACAATGTTATCATTTGCATTTTACTTTATCAATTCTTTTGCAGATTTATTGAATTTATTATCATTTGTATTTCAGGTTCAGTTAGACTTATCAATGGTAGCTCTCCCTATGAGGGACAAGTTGAAGTTTTGGTGAATAACCGGTGGCGGCCTGTTTGCTCGTCTTCTTGGGATAGAAATGATGCTGGTGTTACATGCAGGATTCTAGGCTATTCGGGGTAATTCTAGATTGTATTATCAAACACCAAATGTTAAGTTAATCATGTTTATTATAATATTTAATGTGATGCTTTATTCTAATAATATAAAAAACAATTATCCAGGTCACGTATATTGCACTGTGACTTTACGTAATTGACCCTTTTATAAACTAGTATAACGTTGATTAACGGATTTCAATTTTTGTTTCTCTGCAAATCTATGGAATCTTTCAAAAGCATTTCTCTTTGAAAAACTTTTTTATTGTTCTTCACTTCCACCTTCTATTCTTGTTCCATAAACAAGTTTTGACATTTTAAAACAATGTCCAGTTTTCATCACACTGTATTTTGTTCTGTCTGAACACAGTTCACTTGGTTATATTTTAAATTCTGTGGTCTCTTGTAGCATCTCTTTTCAAAATAGAGTAATAGAGAAATAGAGTTTTTTCTCCAGATTTATTGTTCAGAAGTGTTTTTCGGCTTATATCAGCTAGGAAAATTGTTATGTTTCAAAGTTCAAATTTTGAAGACCTATGTATGGTTATTTGATTTTTTTTTTTATTAGATGCAATGTCCGTTTTATCTTTTTTTTTCTTTAAAGAAAACATATTTAATTAGGAATTAACTTTCCTTTTGGATGACAATACTGCTAGTGTTGTGGCCATCATTTCCCCCTTGGGGAAATTTAAATAAAAATAAAATTGAGATAGGTTTTATGGTAGCTTATATGATTCATTAGTTTAATTTGACAATATTTAGATAAAAATGGCTTTAAGTATATTTTTTTGATTGAATTTACGAAATAATGACTTTAAACGAGGTTGTTGAAATCCCTGTTACATCACCTTATCTGTCAGTAGCCTGCCTCGGATTAAAAATTCGAAACATGCTCGTGAGTATCGAATAAGCTGGGAGATGTAAACACTAGATGCAGGTGATAGTAGGATATTACTACATAAGTAAGGAAAGTTGACATGGAAAAGCTGAAGTCAGCTTGTTTGTTATACAGTTTAGCTGTTAGTTTGCCTTTCTATAGTCAGTAAAACATCCAAGTATGAAACAGATGTGGTTGACTCTGTGGTGTCTTTTATCTCAAGTTCGCTTTGATATATCGAGTTAACATATGAATGGAAGTAACAATTGTTAATTGATAATACGTCGTCAATATATCAAAATGTCGAGTTGAAGGTCACAGAAAGTGATTTTTTTCTTCTCATTTAGAAAGTTTTGAAAAAATTCTGCTTCATATGAATTTAAAAACACGTCGGCTAATAAAGGAGCACAATTAGTGCCCTTCGGAATTGTAAATTAAGATTTTTTTTCCAATCAAGTCTAATGATGAAAAATCTTTTTTCTAGAGGTTTTCAAGTTTCGCTTCCGACAACTATAAATCGGAGAAAAGACAATTGGTTCTTGCATAGCATGTATTGTAACGGAAATGAAGATTCCTTGTTAAAATGTGCAAGATCTATAGCCACCAGCTGTAACTCTGAGGCTGGAGTTATGTGTTACCAATCTTTAAACAGTGAGTACTGAGATTTATTCACTTAGAATTCCGAATTCCTCTTTGTGAATCTATTCAGTTTATCAATTATATTTCAGGTACAGTTAGGCTTGTCAATGGTAGCTCTCCCGATGAGGGACTAGTAGAGGTTCTAGTCAATGACAATTGGCGAGGTGTATGCAGTAATGGATGGGGCAAAGCTGACGCTAGTGTGGCATGCAGAAATGTTGGATATTCCGGGTAATTTCGGGTCATGTTATCAGATTGTTTCATATAAGTAATGTTGATATATATATATATATATATATATATATATATATAGAGAGAGAGAGAGAGAGAGAGAGAGAGAAAGCACAAAGAAATTCACTTTTATAAGGATACCCACTTCCGCCCCAGCCCGGGGTTGAACTCTCGACCTGCGGAATCTGTCTCCTAGCAGTACAGGAACAGCGCGCTAGACCGCTCGGCTATCTAGGCAAGTCAAAAAACTTGCTTTCGATGTCGATGGAATTCTCGCGGCGCTGTCCTACACTACACGGTCATTGAGAATGGAAGTGAGATACAGTTATTTGGACATTAGTTTTTTCAGAGGATCGTTACCAATACACGTTGTACTGAAATTAATTTTATTTATAAAGCACATTTTACAACAACTCTTAAACTAATATAACTGCCCTAAGTGAAGAAATATTAATATAGAAAGCACAAAGAAATTCACTTTTATAAGGATACCCACTTCCGCCCCAGCCCGGGGTTGAACTCTCGACCTGCGGAATCTGTCTCCTAGCAGTACAGGAACAGCGCGCTAGACCGCTCGGCTATCTAGGCAAGTCAAAAAACTTGCTTTCGATGATGATGGAATTCTCGCGGCGCTGTCCTACACTACACGGTCATTGAGAATGGAAGTGAGATACAGTTATTTGGACATTAGTTTTATCAGAGGATCGTTACCAATACACGTTGTAATGAAATTAATTTTATTTATAAAGCACATTTTACAACAACTCTTAAACTAATATAACTGTCCTAAGTGAAGAAATATTAATATAGAAAGCACAAAGAAATTCACTTTTATAAGGATACCCACTTCCGCCCCAGCCCGGGGTTGAACTCTCGACCTGCGGAATCTGTCTCCTAGCAGTACAGGAACAGCGCGCAGGTCGAGAGTTCAACCCCGGGCTGGGGCGGAAGTGGGTATCCTTATAAAAGTGAATTTCTTTGTGCTTTCTATATTAATATTTCTTCACTTAGGGCAGTTATATTAGTTTAAGAGTTGTTGTAAAATGTGCTTTATATATATATATATATATATATCTATATCTATATCTATATATATATATATATATATATATATATATATATATATATATATATATAATATTGAATGCTCATAGTTAGCAAAAAAATTGACCATGACCATGACGTTTTTCTTGACATAACTCAAAGTCATTTGGGCATGTTAGGGGTCACTAGCATAAAAAGTAAGTAATTAACGGAGAAATATAGAAAACTCATTTTAACACAAAGATTTAGCACAACCTGAGTGTTATGGTAAGCCAACGGGTTCAAAATTGAAACTCTGTAATCTTTTAAATGTGCATATGTAAACCTTAATCTGTAAATCTTAAATCATTATTTCAAAATTTGTCAATTGTTCTATCACAATTTGTTAATTGCAAGTTATGTCAATGCTCACGTTTAATTTGTAGACTTGCGATTTGTCAACTTCTGAAATGTAAATTGTACTTTCGTCCTACCACTAAAAAATATATATATGTTAAGAAAGGCTGAAAAAGTTTATAAATCTTAATTTTGATATTTGTCCTCAGACTGATTGGAAATAATAATTTTGTAGTCTTTTAATGCATAGTCATAGCACGACATGGGTATACTGTAGTAAAACAAGAGGCCCTAGGGCCTTAATGGTCACCTGAGTATAATGCAACACTGTAAATAATTAATAGATGTATTAAACAAAAGCAAGACGAAGCAATGTTTCCCAAGAATTTCAAAAATCTGGTAAAAATACTCTTATTGTAACTTGCGTGATCCGAGTGATCTCCTTGGGATCATACTTGGTTTTCCCAAGTCTTACAAGGATGATAATGATTGCAAAATATACAAATACAATGGACACATAAGGTATTCAATATATACAGATATGTTTTTGTCAGTTGTCCAGTGCTACAATTCAGTAAACAAAGACTTGGCTATACAATGTGGCTATTTTTCACTTGTCACCAACTACAACAAGCCACCCTGGCTCTCTATGATTATTTGTCCACTTTGATAGAGTGTAAAAACAACTTTATCCAGTCTCTTGTCAACCTTGGCTTTACCTGACAATAACCCATCAACTGTCAAAGAGATCACCATAGTATAAACATACTGTATACAACTGGACCTTTTGCTAAATATATAAACAATCTTTATGTCAATCTTTTATGTTGCTTTCCAGGCAAGAATCCGACTTTGAGCAAGCTTTGTTCATTAAACCGACAATCCATTTTTATTTTGTTTCTATATATATAACATTCTTACTTGCATTCTCATTCAATCAAATAACCTGTTAATTAAATTATATACAGAGATTTCTTGATTAACACAAGCTAGCAAAGGGGAGTAACTCTCATTTGCTTCACTTATTACAATTGTGAACTCTGTTTGCCTCTTAAATACCGAGGAGCAAAGAAAAGGCACATTTACTTATAATTTTATTAAAAAACATTTACAATGATATTATTGCACTTCGTTTGTTTGCTTAGTGCTCAGGGGCAGATGAGAAGATTTTCAAGGCATATATTAATGCATTTTTTCTAATTAATAAATAGAGCCCATCCAAGCAGCAGAACCCCTGACGGGGTCAAGAAATTCGCAATTTTTGAAGAGGCACCCTTTCTCATCATAACTATGTATTTGGTTTGTTTGCTTAATACCAAGAAGCAGAGGAGAAGGTTTTCAAAGCATTTATTCATTTTTTGTATAAAATAAATAAGCCCCCAACGGTACCCCTGACCCAGGGGACATGAAATTCACAATTTTGGAAGAGGTACTCTTGCTCATGAAAACAATGTACTTACTTCATCGGCGTAATACCCAGGAGCAGAGAAAGAGATTTTTAAATAATTAATGCATTTTCACAACATAATCAATAGAACCCCGCCTTATCACCAGAACCCCTTAACCAGGGGCCATGAAATTCACAATTTTGGAAGAGACACTCTTGCTAATCATAACTATATATATGTACTTAGTTCATCGGCTTTATTCCCAGGAGCAGAGAAGCTTTTTAAAGCAGTAATGCATTTTCACTATATAATCATTAAAATTCCGCCTTAACACCAGAACCCCTGAGTAGGGGCCATGAAATTCACAATTTTGGAAGAGGCACTCTTGCTAAACATAACTTTGTACTAAGCTCATCGGCTTAATTCCCAGGAGTAGAGAAGAAATTTTTAAAAGAATTAATGCTCTTTCACCATATAATCATTAGATCCCCGGACAAACACCAGAACCCCTCACCCGGCTAGGACCATGAAATTCACAATTTTGGAAGAGGCACTCTTGCTCATCATAACTATGTACTTAGATCATCGGCTTAATACACAGGGGCAGAGAAGAATTTTTTTAAAGAATGCATGCTTTTTCACTTTATAATCATTAGAGCCCCGCCCTAACAGCAGAACCCCTGACCCAGGGGCAATGAAATTCACAATTTTGGAAGACACTCTTGCTCGTCATAACTATGTACTTAGTTCATCGTTTTAGTACCCAGGAGCAGAGGAGAAGATTTTTAAAAATTAGTGCATTTTAGCTATATAATCATTAGAGCCCCGCCTTACGTGTAACACCGGAACCCCTGATCCAGGAACCATAAAATGCACAATTTTGGAAGAGGCACTCTCGCTCATCATAACTATGTACTAAGTTTATCGGCTTAATACCCAGGAGCAGAGGAGAATAAGATTTTTTTTAAAAATTACCTTACTGAGAAAGATCAAGTTTACATACGATTCCACTTAAATGATTTCACGGATTTCAGCCTTTCAATTCGTAAGGGAAACCAGGTTTCCCACTTGGTTTTCTGCACTTTTCCCCTAACTTTTTGCAGATATTGAGCTGGTTTATTGTATCTGATGTACCTTGATGAGTGACAGTTTGTATATTGATCCGCTTCAACGACGTTTGACGGAATTGCATTTTAAAAATTTTTAAGAGTATCCAGAATACAATTGCTGGTAAGAGACCAGTATTGCTCATTCAATACTATTAGTGTGCTTATTATATATGATTTAATTAAAATAAATTTTATAACGGTTTATATGCATTGCTTTGATTAAGAATTTTCTCTTACAGAAACACATAAGTTGTGCTTAATACACATAAGAATTTTTACCGGTCCATAGTATTTGAAGCAGTTTTTCTAAGCAAGTGAAAAAAAATAATAAGAAGGAGACCGCCTAAAAGAAACAAAATCGTGGTTGATAATATACATTTGTAATTTCTTATACAATTTTATTTCTTTCTTTTGAATTGAATTAAAACTACTGTTTCATATACAAATGTCTAATTTTGCAAGATTTTTTCCGATGAATTATTCATAAAAGTTATGAAACAATTCCAAAAATTGTTATATACATCACGGGGATGAACTTTTCAGGCACCATATTTAAGTAATCATTATGAAAATGTTTTGAACTATTTTTTATGGTAAATCATTATCCTTTCACTAGTTTCAATCTTACTTGCTTAATTTCCTCCTAACTCAGAAGTAAACATTAAAATTGTTCAATTTTCATAAACTGTCTTCCTTGCAGTCTCCATTCAGAAATGGCAAAAATATTTTGTTAGTGATTGATAATTTTATAGAAAATTTAAAGAATTTTCATTTTAAAGTTTTTTTTTTTGATTTTCTTAATGTTGTTTTACTAGTACATTCATTTCAAAATGCATCGGACAAAAATTAACCAAACATCGGACACTTTCCGATGCATGGGTAATCACTTCCCTTTAATAGATACATAAATAACCCTACTTACAGCTATTTTCGCGGAAATAAAAAAAAATATAAATTCAACATTTTCAGTAAAAATACAAGTTATCGATAGATGTCATCTAAAAGTAAGCTCTCTTTTTCTCTTCAAACTAGAGGATGATAACCCAAAGAAAAAGACACAAGTTGTAATCTAATAAACGAGACATTGGGGGGAGGGGGGGGGGCTATCTAAGGCGATATGATGAAAGTAAAATCCCTCGACATTTGTAGAATAATATAGTTAACTAGAAACTCATTGCGAGCAATGAGAGGTCTTCGGTCCGATTTTGAAAATAAAAATATATATTCAAGCTGAAAAGGTGATAAAAGAAATTCAGACACTCTGGAGATTTAACCCTGGTTGTCAGCGTTAAAATCCAACGTGCAGACCATGAACCATTCACTTTTTTGCATCACTTCCTGTCACGACCGGAGGTAACGGCGATACAAGATTTCCTCGCGATTCAAATAAACTGATGACTGACTATCAGTTCTGAAAGTTTTAGACTTCAGTCGTTTACTGTTGCCAAGCAATATTGTGAGAAAAAATTCTAATTCTGAGGACAGGTAAACACGTGACTGGAAGTGAATTTTATATAAAAAAAAAAATCTCTGACGTTTCTCTATACATTTGCAGTATCTACAAAATGCATAAAAACATTTCAAGTACTTTATCGACAAGCAATATTTATGAGAAAGTTAAATATCGAAATAACGTAGTTTATCACCTAAAACCGGAAGTTGACATATTTCAAAACAGCGAAAAAGATGCAATAAAGTGATGCAAACTTTAATTTGAAAAAGAAAAGTTAAATTTTTGATTTCTTTGATCACTTCCTGTGACGACCGGAAGTTACGACGTACGCGTATAACCAAAATAGTTTTGCCTACTCCTCAAGGTCTGCTACTCATAAAAATTTGGTGTTTTAATCTTTTACCTGTTTTTGAGATCTCGCTCAGACAATTTTTCATTTTGAGGACAGAAAAACACGTGACCGGAAGTGAATTTTTGAAAGATATTTGAGGTTACTCTAGACCTTTGCAGTCTGAATAACATATTTAAAATTCATTTCAAATACGTTATCTATAAAGAATATTTATAGGAAAGTAAAAAACTCAAATTTTGTAGTTTTTCTCTTATAACCGGAAGTTGTCGTTTTTGTTTCCGGTGGGACCAACATCTTTCGAATCTGCGAATAAGATGCAATAAAGTGATGCAATTTTAAATAAAAAAGGAAAATTGAAATTTTCTATTTCTTTGATCACTTCCTGTGACGAACGGATGTGACGGCTGACGCTCTGAACCCAAGTGATTTTGGCTACATCTTAAGGTCTGTTGCTCATATAAGTATGGTGTCTTAATTTCTTACCGTTTCCGAGATCTTGCTCAGACTTCTCATTTTTAGGACAGAAAAACATGCGACCGGAAGTGAGTTTTTGAAAGATATTTGAGGTTACTCTAGACATTTGCTGTCTGAATAACATATTTAAAATTCATTCCATATACTTTATCTACAAAGGAAATTAATGGGAAAGAAAAATACTCGAATTATTTTTTTTTTCTCTTATAACCGGAAGTTGACGTTTTTGTTTCCGGTGGGACCAACATATTTCAAAACTACAAAAAAGATGCAATATTGTGATGTAAGAATTGACTTAAAAAAAGAAAGTTGAAATTTAACGATTTCTTTGATCACTTCCTGTAGCGACCGGAAGGTGCCGACGACGAACGAAAAGGTGCCCTCTCCAATCTAGAAATCATGTTCTATCATCTCTAACAAGTCTCCAGTTAATATCTTAAGCCATTCTTGAGAACACTCGCGGACAAAAAAAATTTCATTTTAAAATCAGAAAATTGTCCATAACTTGGCACTGGAACCGAATTTACCAAAAAACGGAATTTTATATAAAATTCATATAAAGTCCTTTTATCCCTGAAAATTTCAAGGAAATTCATTGAATAGTTTTCGAGAAATCGCGTGCACAAAATTTTGTCTAAAAAAAAAGAATAATAATAATAAGAAACTATAGAATCACTATAAGGTCTTCCGTGGAGACGAAAGACCTTAATAAAATTAAAATAGAGAGTTAATTATTAAATGAAGCATAAAAAATATTTCATGTTACTATTTTTTTTTAGCATTTCAGGTGTTTTAAAGGTCACAGCGATAAATGTAACTAAGATGTTTGTCCGATGCATGGAAATACTGTCCGATCCACGGTGAATTCTGGCTAATTGCAAAATAAAATCCGTGTTTTAATAATATTTCTCAATAAATAGCATTAAATTTTGTCACAAATTCATATTTTGATAACATAATTCCTCTTAAGTTCCATTCTGATAATATTCGCTCTGTAGCAATATCGCTAGAACTTCTTCAATTACGAGGGTGTCTGATGCATGGTGAACTCATTCCTATTCATTTATGATTAAAATTATTTTTCTCCTGAATAGATATAAAGAAAGAATCGATTTTTTTTTCAAAATTCATGAATTTTTAAAAAATATATTTGTAGAGGATTTCCGGTCTCCATTCCGCCTCATGGAAAGACACAGAAAACAGCTTGGTTCTTAGACAGCATGAGTTGTAATGGAAATGAGAATTCCTTGTTAGAATGTGCAAGATCAGGATCCAGTAGTTGTAACTTAGCGGGAGTTATATGTTACTGCACTGTAAAAGGTTAGATATGGATATTTTATTCATCTTAGATTTTGTAAAATTATTGAACAATCTATTCAATTTCTACAACTTCCATTACAGGCAGAGTTAGAATTGTAAATGGCAGCTTTTCAGATGAAGGTCGTGTTGAGGTTTTGGTTTATGACCGATGGCGAAAAGTTTGCAGCAGTTATTGGGGCAAAAATGACGCAGATGTAACATGTAGGAGTCAAGGGTTTTTAGGGTAATTTTATCTTGTTCTTTTTTGTAAATGACAGATTTTTTCTTATCTTTGTTTTACATGTTCACAATTTTCTTCTGCATACCGTAAAATCCTATTTCTTTCTGAAAGAAATATTGTTAAACCTCAGTTGCAGTTTTGCCAAAATCAGTATTACATTTGCTGGCTATCTAGAACATAAGTTGTTCTTCTTGGCCTTGTAGGATTAAGTCGGACAAGGTAAATCTCATCAATGCATAACGTTCCTACAAAGTGAGACTGTGAATATCAAACAAAAATAAACCTTTTTCAAAATATTACTTGTAGAGGTCATGCAGTTTCATTGCCAGCTGTAGAAAAGAGGAATAAAACCATTTGGTTCTTAGATCGCATGAGTTGTAATGGAGATGAAGATTCCTTGTTCGAATGTGCAGCCCAAGGATCAATTACTTGTAATTCTTATAGAGAGGCTGGAATTGTTTGTTATAACCACACGGTAAATGGTGCGTTATTAAAGTTTTATTTTTTCTAGATTTCATATTCATTTTCTAGATTTCACAATATTTTTTTGAAGAATCTATAATATAGATAATTTGTAATTCAGGCACTGTCAGAATTGTTAATGGCAGCTCTCCAAATGAGGGTGTAGTTGAGGTTTGGAAGAATCACCGGTGGGTTAGTGTTTGTAAGGAAGGATGGGACAAAAATGACGCTGATGTGACGTGTAAAAGTTTAGGATATTCAGGGTATATCGCTAAAATATTTTTGTTCTTAATGTATTTTGAATATTTATTTCACTACTTTAAGCCGGACTTTTTAAAGAAAGACATGTAATTTTATCTTACTTAATGTATTTGTTATTTGTATGTCAGTGTATGCAATCATTTTCATTTTAATTAACCATCAGTTTAGCGCCGTAAGTAGCTATGGGATCATATCGTGTATAATGTATGTTAATTTATCCACAGGTCTTTAGATTGCTTAATCCAACTTACAAAAAAGGATGACTCAGCTTAAAGACATGCTAAATTTGCAACAAAATAACTTTCAAATCGATCGTTTTTTCTTTTAATTCCGGGAATGGTCAACATCCAATCTGCAACTTAATGTAAATACATTAAATAAAAGTATGTATTTACGAAGTTCGAATCTGTTTTCATAGGTGGGGGTCATGAAGATTTCTTGAAAATCTATAGATAATGAGGACGACCACTTTTTTACTGACTCAATGCAAAGTCAGGCCATGTTTTCTGTTCTCTTCTTAACAGGAGTTGAATATTTGCATTAATAAACTTGTGTCAAAAGGAGATCAAAAGACAAACATGCGCTCATGGTTTAAAAGAGAGAAAAAAAGCGTTTCATCTTACATTTGCTCTCTCTGTTGTAACCAAAGGTTGTGACATGTTGAATATTATAATTCAGTGTGTGGTTTCTTACCTCAGATAACGTTGTGAATACAAAATTCCGCCACGTGACTTGTAAAATGTAGCATGTTATGTGCTAACTAGGACACTGTGTTCCAACACGTTAAATTGTCAGGTATTGATTTAAATTCTTCTAGCTATACTTACATGGACGTGGCCAAATTGTTAATTCTTGTAAATAGTGTACTTGTACATACAGAATAGAGAGAAAAATGCGAAAAGAGTTATTACGTATTTATTTTTAAGCATGTCATTGTTATCTATGCTAGTCTAATTTTAGACCCATTCTCACAATGTTAGCTCTTACTCTCATGCATATGTAAGCCAATGACAAAGTTTGTAAGTTTTTTGAAAAGTTTATTTAACAACCGTGATCGTATAGATTTTTATATGCTTGTTTCTGAAATTTCACCAGAATAGACCAATACACTGGTTATAGCAAAAGTTTTAAAGATCCGTCCGAAATATTTAAGAAGAGCGTAGAACTAAAACTCCAAAAGTAATAATTAAGGTGAAGTCCAAAAAATTAGAGTCCAAAAGTATTCTAAAAGATTCTAAGAAAAGAGAGAATAGAATGCCGTTTTCCGGCAAAACAGGGTATTTTGTTCTCAGAAGGTATTCATGGTTTCGGATATAAAAGTACTTTTCATTGGCTGACTTAACATTACCATACCACCTACTCTTAGTCCGTAGGGCTGTCCGTTGACCTATGAACACCAACATGGCACCACCCTCCAATCCAAGTATACCTTCATTAATAATATTTATGGACTCAGTATCCATCTGTGCACCACAGGAGTTCTAGCCCTAGGCTCTTTTACTTATCAGCTTCAAAGTTCCCAATTTTATTACTCTTAATCAAGAATCTTAATAGTAACTTTACATTTCCGTTCAAATTTTATTACTTAGTATCGATGGGCTTAATTGGTCTATTCTGATCAATTCCATTACAAATGAGTTTACAAAATTATAGTTCATTGCATCAATAACAACATCCATTTTGTTTTAACAATATAATTATAGTTCATGATGTTAAAGTCTCTTTTCCAATTATAAAATCACTGTATGTAGTGCACAAACAATGTATATCCTTGTTTAGCAACCTTTTATTTTATTTTACTGTTACTACTAAGTTCACTATTAATAACTAAAATGATTAGGATATAAATATAGTCCAAGTTTAAAATGTTCAAATAAAATGTCCATTCTAAACACTATAGGTTTACACATATCTAATGTTCAATCAAGGGCAGGTAAGTGTAAATTCTTCTCTATTTTTGGAAAGCAGTGAGGTCGAAAACATAGAATTATTTTATCATGTCACAATTTTAATTTATTTTAAAATTTAAATTATGTTCCAAATTGATAAGATTTTTTGACAAATAAACAAAAGTGAAATTAAGTTAAGATATAAAAGCATCAGAAGCGATCGAAAAAGATCCAAAAACAGACGTTAAGTGCAATCATCCTTTGGGATGTAAAAAAAAGAAAAAGGTATGGAACTCCTTGCAAAGGGTACCCACTTTCGCCAGTGGAATACTTTTAAATTAAATGATATAAACTTTTACTCTCTATTAATATCTATTCACATTAGAACCATCTACATTACTTCCAAAGATCTTTCCGAAATTCCGTACATTTTCCGAGATGTAAGGAAGTCAATTCCAAACTTGACCTTTTTTAGCTCACCTAAACCGAAGGGGCAAGGTGGGGCCAAAATGACTGCTCAAAGTTTTACATAGGAATACATAAGAAAAATCTTTAAAAATCTGTTCTCAAGAACAGCAAAGCCATGATTGGTCATATTTATATGGAAGCATCCTCAGGTATTGTAGAATCAAATTTCTTCAAATCATGACCCCCATCGATAGGGATGGCCTACAATGGGCGATCAAATTTTACATAGGAATACATAGGAAAAATCTTTAAATATCTTCTTCTTGAGAACAGCAAAGTGATGTTTGGTCATATTTATATGAAAGGTAGTCTTAATCTAAGTTTGTACAAATCTCAAGAACAGTAAAGCTTTTATCAGTGATATTAATGTAGAAGCATCTTCAGGTAGTGTAGATTCATGAGGTTCGATTCATGCCCCCTCCCCACCTACATATCTTAACACAATACTGAACTGATGTCTGCGTTTTCCTGTCCTCACAACGTCAGGGGCCCTGAGTCAACACCTTGGCGTCGGACCCCTGACAAATTTCATTCTATATCTTGCAGGCTGACTGCAGCAACATCTTTCGGGAAAATTCCAAATCTGTTTTTTTTTTTTTTATCTCACATTACGCCTTTCGGTAGAGCGCTCGCTCCGTGATGGGAAGGTCGTGGGTTCTAGCTCCGGCCCCGACTGACCTAAGTCGATTAAAAACAGGTAGCAATTGTTCCTTCGCCAAGCGCTCAGCACTTTGAAGTGAAGTTGCGGGTCCTTCGGATGAGACCTTAAAAACCGAGGCCCCGTGTCACGGCAGGTGTTGGCATGATAAAGATTCCTCACTGTTCAATGGCCCTCAGTGCCGAGTAGGGTCTAAATTTGAAGCCCTTCACCGATATATGGTGACGTCTCTATATGAGTGAAAAATTCTCGAATGAGACTTAAAACAACATACAATCAATCAATCGGTGATAAACAATGCGTAACACTTGCATTTTCGGTGTCAACTGATTCCTTTCTGTTTACATTATCTGTCTACTTCAATTTGAGTGGGACTTCTCAATGAGAGAAGCAAGCCCAAAGATATCGAATGAAATTTGTCAGGGGTCCAACGGCAACGTGTTGACTCAGGACCCCTGACGTTGTGAAAATGGCTTTTTTCTAGCCATAGTGTTCAGTTGAGCGATGTGGCCCTCTTTTTTTTTTTTACTTGAAATTAGTTTGGGCCCCTGGTCATTTACATGTATACAGACCTTGTTCGAACCGCAGCGAACAGTTCTATAGTACATGTATTTGCACAATGTATCAACATTTTAAAAGTTGATTTTTTTTTACTACAGTTGGTATGATTAAATTTGTAATAATTCCTTTCGAGAAAAAACCCACACAACACCCACCGACCCACACCCACACCCACCCACGTACCCCCCCCCCCCCAAACACACACACCATTATAAAACGTCTGCTTCAACCGCTGAACAGCCATGTTGTCTACTAATGTAAAAAAAGGTATGAATGGACGAAATTTTCCCGGAATGTATTACATACTTTTAGATTTAAAAAGAAAAATAAGACCTGTGGCAACGCACTTTGAAAAAATTACGCACTTTGAAAAAAATTTTCAAAGTGCGTTAAAACTGGGCCAAAATCAACGCACTTTGAAAAATTTTTTCAAAGTGCGTTAAGAGTGTACATCAACATTTTTTACCATGGAGAAACTCAACGCACTTTGAAAAATAAGTATAAAACAAAAATTGTGGACTTAGATTTTAATAATAAACAGCATTAATTTGTTATATTTCTTCCGAAAAACTGATGAATTGATCTACCCTCATCGAGAATGAGGAGATGACAGGTAGAAAGGTCCTCAGCCCAACTCTCTATCTTTCGTACACAAATATATGTATTTACATAACTGGTGTGACATTGATATTATTTCTCTCAGTAAATTTGAGTTAACGTAAAATAGATGAAAAAATTGAGATAAGCTTCCCTGAAAAAAAAAAAGAAATACGAACCCTATTATATTAAAGAAGAGACCCGCATAACCTTTATTCAAAAATGTATCCACAATGATTCCTAAGAAAAAATGCTTTTACATGGTAATTAAAACACGCTATTTGACATGTCTAGCGTTTTTATGATATCAAATTACAGATTTCGAAGTAATCTGACTGCATAACTTTTTGAGAAAAAGTTATTAGTGAACGAGGTAAAAATTTCAGTCGAGTGAGTAATGTTGCCAAGGTCTATTTTCTTACTATCAAATAAATGAATCAACCATTGTTTCATATATGTTCACAATAGATAGATAGATGAATATGATAGAAAAATAGATGAGAGAGAGAGAGAGAGAGAGAGAGAGAGAGAGAGAGAGAGAGAGAGAGAATTGTCATGGTATGGAAAAATCATGATCGCTCCCTTTTCCCCTAAGAAAAATGCGATGCTTTAAGTCACTTCTCGACACCTACATCTACCGAACTTATTAGAGACTGGATAAAATTTAAAAAAAGAAAAGAAAAAAAGAAACGAAACTGTGCTATTAAAAAATCATTCCTCCATTATTTCTAGGACCCATTTCCCTTTTATAAGTTACAAGAAACTTTGGAAACAAGACAACTCCTAAAAATCTTTAAAACGTCTATATCTCAGATCCTGACGTCATCACCGAAAAATTATCCAACCAGGTTCAAATAATTATTTATCATACCTAAAATTTGCAAGAATATTGACCAAGCCGTGCACAATTTTTTTTTTCAAAATGCGTTAATATGGTCGATATTAACGCACTTTGAAAAGAATTTTTTTTTCAAAGTGCGTTAACGTGGTCCCAAAATCAACGCACTTTGAAATTTTTTTTTTCAAAGTATGTAATTTTTCAAAGTGCGTTGTAAGCTAAAATGTTGTTTGTAACTTAGTAAGACCATATGGTCAAATAGATAAAAATTTGTTGAGACTGAGAGCTAAAATGCAAATATCCAGAGAGTATAGAATAAATTTCTGGAAAAATTCGCCCCGCCCTTCCCCCTATACGGTTAGTAATGATCAGAGGCCAAGCTAATTTCGAGTAAAAAATAGGTCAGTTTTGGAATTGATTTTATCATATCTCGGAAAGTATGCGGAATTTTGGAAAGAACTTTGAAAATAATGTAGGTTGTTTATATATGATTGGATGTGAACAGAAAGTAAAACTTTAGATCATCTGATTGAAGGGTATTACATAGGCGAAAGTGGGAACACTATGTAAGGAGTTCCATACTTTTATCTTATTTTACACCCCATTTTAGCTCACCTGAGCTGATAGCTAAAGTGAGCTTTTCTGATCACCCGTTGTCCGTCGTCCGTCCGTCCGTCTGTAAACTTTTCACATTTTTAACTTCTTCTCAAGAACCACTGGACCAATTTTAATCAAACTTGGTACAAAGCATCCTTGGGTAATGAGGAGTTCAAATTCTTAAAATGAAGGGCCAAGTTTCCTTCAAATGGGAGATAATCAAGAAAATACAAAAAATGGGTGGGGTCATTAAAAAATCTTCTTCTCAAGAACCACTGGGCCAGAAAAGCTGAAACTTATGTGGAAGCATTTTGGGGTTGTGTAGATTCTAAATTGTTCAAATCATGACCCCCGGGGAGTAGGGCGGGGCCACAATAGGGAATCCAAGTTTTACATTGAAATATGTAGTAAAAAATTTTAAAAATCTTCTACTCAAGAACCACTGGGCCAGAAAAAATGAAACTTATGTGGAAGCATCCTTGGATAGTGTAGATTTTAAATTGTTCAAATCATGACCCCCTGGGCGAGGGCGGGGTCACAATAGGTAATCCAAGTTTTATATTGAAATATTTGGTAAAAATCTTTAAAAATCTTCTTCTCAAGAACCACTGGGCCACAAAGGCTGAAACTTATGTGGAAGCATTCTGGTGCAGTGTAGATTCGAAATTGTTCAAATCATGACCCCTGGGGGTAGGGCGGGGCCACAATAGGGAATCCAAGTTTTACATAGAAATATATAGTAAAAATCTTTAAAAATCTTCTTCTCAAGAACGACTGAGCCAGAAAAGCAGAAACTTATGTGGAAGCATACTGGGGAAGTGGGGATTCTAAATTGTTCAAATCATGACCCGAGGGTAGGGCGAGGCCACAATAAGGAATCGAAGTTTTACATTGAAATATGCAGAAAAAAATCTTTAAAAATCTTCTTTTCAAGAACCACTGGGCCAGAAAAGCTGAAACTTATGTGGAAACATTCTGGGGTAGTGTAGATTCTAATTGTTCAAATCATGACCCCTGGGATAGGGCGGAGCCACTATAAGTACTACAAGGGGGGGGATCAGGTGAAAAACAGCAAGGCCAAAGTTACTCAGGTGAGCGCTGTGGCCCATGGGCCTCTTGTTGTAAGTCGGATAGAAACGAGGTAAAGGCCTGTGATTATAACATTGATGCATTTCTGTTATTGTTTTCAAGATTATTAACATAAGTTTTATTTTTTCTTTAACAGAGGGTTTCCAGTTTCATCGCTGATGTATGTAGACGATAGGGAAGATGCTGTCCTGTTGGGTGAAATGTACTGTGCTGGAAATGAAGATTCTTTATTAAAGTGTCCTAGATCAATTACACTATCCAGTAGCTGTTACAGTGGAGGAAAGGCCGCAGTAGTCTGCTACCATACAGAAAATGGTTTGTTTGAACGATGATGTTTAGTCTTTTATTACATTTTCAACAGTGAAGTACTGTGGTTTGTTTATTGAATAAAAGTGATATTCTCTCACTGTCTGAAAGGACACCAAAATGATATTCTTTCTTAGTGTGAAAGAATATCAAATTTAGTTAAAAAATAATTTCTGGTTTGTAATAAAATAAACATAGTAACTAAAACATATTGATAGAGACTAAAACTGCCATGCTATTTATTCCCAAATATGTTTCTAAAAGCCATGTTACAATGTTTTCAATCTCTCAATTGCTAAGCTATGACGTCTCACATGCTCAACTATGACGTCACAGCCTATGACACTGTGTTAAGAAAAGACAAAGGCAAAGGGAAAATGGAAGAAAATATAATAAACAGAAAATTCAGTGTTTTGAAGTTGGATATAGAATTTATTTCACTCGTGAGACAGGATTTTTTTTTATTTTCACTCGTGCATCGCACACATGAAAATATAAATAAATCCTGTCCCATTGGTGAAATAAATTCCATGTCCAACTACAAAACGTTCCATATCCTCTATATATTAAATGTATTTTAAGGTCAATTGAGGCACTCAGGTGACTTATTGCTATCTGTTTTTGTCCGTCGTCGTTCATTGTTCGTCGTCCGTCGGTCGTAAACTTTTGAACATTTTCAGCTTCTTCTCTGGAACCTCTGATCCAGTTTTGGCATATAGCATCTATGGGTGAAATTGATGCCCCCCTTCCCCCTGAGGCTTGGGGATGGGGCTAAAACCATAAAAAATTGTGCAATCTTTAAAAATCTTCTTCTTTACTCCTGTACATCAAGAAGTCAAACTATTGGCACGAATGTAATGAACATTGAGGACTCTACCAAAATTGTGAAATTCATGGCCCCAGGTTCAGGAGTTCTGGTGCTAGGGCGGAGCTCTGTTGAATATATAGTGAAAATACATTATATACTAAAAAATCTTCTCTTCTTCTTTGGGTATTAAACAAACGAACTAAATGCATAGTTATGATGGGCAGGGGTGTCTCTTCCAAAATTGTGAAATTTTTGGCCCCTGGGTTAGGGGTTCTGATGTTATGGTGGGTCTTTGTTGATTATCTATTGAAAATACATTAATTCTTTAAAAATCTTCTCTTCTCATCCTGGGTTTTAAGCAAACGAACTAAATGCAAAGTTATGATGAGCAAGGGTGTATCTTGCAAAATTGTGGATTTCATGGCCCCTGGGTCAGGGGTTCTTTTGTTAGGGTGGGGCTCTGTTGATTACGTATTGAAATGCATTAATTCTTTAAAAACTTCTCCTCACCTCCTGAGTATTAAGCAATAAACTAAATGCATAGTTATGATGAGCAAGCGTGTCTCGTCCAAAATTGTGAAAGATGTGGCCCCACTTCCCGGGGGGCTCTATTGATTATGAAGTGAAAATGCATTGATTCTTTGAAAATGTTCTTTTCTGCTCCTGAGTATTAAGCAAACAAATTAAATGCAATAATATATAAATGTATAAATATAAATAAATATACCTCTTCTCTGTTCTTGCGTATCTAGGAGGCAAACAGAGTTCAAAATTGTATTAGCAAATGAGAGTTATAATTTAATTAACAGGTTATTTGATTGAATAGAATACAAGAAAGAATGATATATGTGTATATAGAAACAAAATAAAAATGAATGTTTGGTTTAATGATCAAAGCATGCTCAAAGTCGGATTCTTGTCTGTAAAGCATTATTATCGTTTAAAGTCGTCATTTCGTAAGTTCTATGGTCGATACAATGACCTTGTCAGCAAATACAATTTATCATTAAGTCAAATGCTGACTGACGTTTTTCATACTAATTGTTAGGCCATTATTTACACACGGAGGGTGTGACCGGCTGGCAGGGGATGCTCACTCCTCCATGGCACATGGCACCTGATCCCACCTCTGATGTTTTAGAGGTCCGTGCTTGCTCTACTCCAAAATTTGTATTGTTTGATGGACTTTTGAGCTTGAATACTGTTCGTTATCTCCATAGTTTTCATTATAAAAGATTGACACAAAGATTATGTATGTAGCAAAATAGCCGATTGAAAAGAGTATGGGTTTAGATATATTATGGTGATTAACAATTGATGAGTTCTTGTCAGGTAAAATCATGGAGACAATAGACTAGATGATAAATGCCTGCTCAAAATTCTTTTATACTTTATCAGTGACCAAATGATTACTGAAAGCCAGGATGACTAGGGGACATGTTGTAGTTCGTGATAAGTGGCAAATAGCCATTTTGTATTGCCAAGTGGTAAGTGCTGGTAACAAGTATTACCAAGTTGTTTGTATACTTAAAAGTGTTGATACCAAGTGTTACCAAGTGGCAAGCAGCTGAGTTGTTTGTGTAGCCAAGAGGCATCACCTCGAGTAAATATACAGGCATTAGAGATTTCCCTTTGTGTACTTTATTGTAGTACTTGGCAAGTGACAATTGCAGAAATATATATGTATATTTTAAATATCTTACACACTAGGCACGGGGTACATTATATTTGTATACTGTATTTTGCATTCATTATCATCCTTGTAAGACTTGGGCAAACCAAGTACGATCCCAAGGGGATCGCTCAGGTCTCGCTTGTTACAATAAGCAAGGGTATTTTTACCAGATTTTTCAGATCACCTCAAGGAACTTTGGGGGAGTTTATGTAATACCCTCGATGTCGGCGTCAGGGTCGGCGTTGGCATCGGCGTCCCAGGTTAAAGTTTTTGGAGCAGATTTCTTTTCAAGTTCTTCTATGCCTTATATTAATTAGAAATGCATGGAGGATGTTTCTAGTATGTTTCATTGTATCAAAGATTCAGATGCTGCATTTTCAGCTAAAGAATGACCAGGTTAATGTTTTAGAGCAGGCTAAAGGCAGAGATTTTTTACCGGGTGGTAAATTCCAGGTGAGGGAGGGGCTTATTTTGTACAGGTGTGAATACCTTGAGGGCTAGCATTCTACCTGAGGTCGTTTGTCTCCGAATCCCTATACACAGGAGATGATTTAATACACAGTAGAGTACCCAAGTAGTCAAACTTTACCTGTGTTGAGATTTTGAGATGATTTTAAATTAAAAATAAAAAGATGTAAATAAAGTTTAATCTCAATAATTTTTATTTATTTGTAATTGAATGTGTGTCAAAGCATACCCACCAATTAAAAAATAATTTTTAGTCAAAGTATTTGTTGAGCTTTGAAAAAAGTTGTACCAAATGTGATACATATCATCGTAAAGAGTATTATAATTATTTTTAATACTAAAGGTTTATATATATATTATCAAGCTAAAAATTCCATAGTAATACAGCTTCTCTATTGTTTATGCTACATGTATGTGTGGTAAATATCAAAGGATCAAAAGTTAATTTGAAGGTCACCACGAGTGCCAAACAAGGTGTACAGGGTATACACAGGGACTAGTAAGTAAATGTCAGTCAAGTTCTAGCACCCAATGATGTACCTTAATGCACTTGATTGACAGGGGTACACAGGCCAGGTATTTTTGAAGGCGGTGCTTAAAATCTTTGCCTTTAAAGTTTTTGGAGCAGGTCTAATTTCCAAGTAACTATAAGCCCTATACTGACCAAACTTGCATCATGATATATCTAAGGATGCACACTTCCAGGCTTGCTTCGGATGCTTGATCTGACGTACATTTTCCGGATGCGTGACCAGGTTAAATTTTTTTGGAGCAGATCTCCTTTCCAAGTAATTATGAGCCCTATATTGACCAAACTTGCATGGATGATACATCTAAGGATCCAAACTACCAGGCTTGCTTCGGATGCTAGATCTGACCTACATTTTCCAGATGAGTGACCAGGTTAAAGTTTTTGGAGCAGACCTCATTTCCAAGTAAGAAAAAGCCCTCTGTTGACCAAACTTGCACGGATTATACATCTAAGGATGAAAACTACTGGTCTTGCTTCGAATGCTGGATCTGACCTACATTTTTTAGATGCGTGACCAGGTTAATGTGTTTGGAGCGGATCCAGTTTTTAAGTGACTATAAGCCCGATGTTTTTTGGAGCTATAAGGGGTATCTGAACTAAACTTGCATGGATGATGCATCACGGGATGAACATTCTCAAACTTGCTTTAGATGCTGGATTTGACTTACATTTTCTAGATGAGTGACTAGTTTTCAATTTTTAGTTAAGTCCATTCCCGAGTAACTGCATGCCCTATCAGACCAAAATTGCATAAATGCTACATCTAGGGATGCACACTACTAGATTATTAGTTTGCCTTACTTAAAGACAATATTCATTGAGGTAAGCTCTGTAATCTGGGATTACCCATGTTTGAAATTCTTGGGCAACATAGCTTCATCTTTCAGTTAAATTTGCTTTATACTTCTATGGATCCTTTACAGTGTTTATGATACTCAGGTGACCGTTTAGGCCCTTGGGCCACTTGTTTTTCAGAAGGTTGATCGTTTTAGTTCTTTTTTTTTTAATGAAAATAGTACGTAACAAGATGTGTTTGTGAAACACTGATGCCCCCATATGGCAGCTTATGGCGAAGGTTAAAGTTTTCAAATGCAAGTCAAAATCCAGGCCAAAAGATAAAAAATGTTAAATTTGAAAGCCCTAGCTGCAACTGTTCAAAAGTTATGGCGACGGTTAAAGTTTTTAAAAAGTAAGTAAAACATCAAGGTCAAGGTCAAAGTTGTTGGTATCCAAAGGAAGGTTTTGTCACAAGGATTACATATGTAAAGTTTTAAAGCCCTAGCACCAACCATTCAAAAGTTATGGCCAAGGTTAAAGTTTTTCGAAAGTAGGTCAAACTCCTATGTCAAGGTCAAAGGGTCAAAGTGCTTGGTATCCAAAGGAAGGTATGTCACAAGGATTACATACGTGAGGTATGAAAACCCTAGCATCAACCATTCAAAAGTTATGGCCAAGGTTAAAGTTTTTCAAAAGTAGGTCAAACTCCTAGGTAAAGGTCAAAGGGTCAAAGTGGTTGGATCCAAAGGAAGGTCTTGTCACAAGGATTACATATGTGAAGTATGAAAGCCCTAGCTCTAACCGTTCAAAAGTTTTGGCCAAGGTTAAAGTTTTTCGAAAGTAGGTCAAACTAGTAGGTCAAGGTCAAAGGGTCAAAGAGGTTGATATCCAGAGGAAGGTCTTGTCACAAGGAATACACATGTGAAGTTTGAATCCCCAAGAACCAACTGTTCAAAAGTTATAGCCAAGGTTAAAGTTTTTCAAAAGTAGGTCAAACTCCAAGGTCAAAAGGTCAAAGTTGTTGGTATCCAAAGGAAGGCCACATGTGAGGTTGAAACCCCAAGCACCAAATGTTCAGAAGTTATGGGCAAGGTTAAAGTCTCATAAAATTTTGCAAAAGTGGGTCAAACTCCAAGGTCAAGGTCAAAAGGTCAAATATGATGGTACCCAAAGAAAGGTCTTGTCACAAGGAATACACATGTGAAATATGAAAGTCATAGCTCCAACCAATCAAAAGTTATGGGCAAGGTTAAAGTTGACAACAGACAGACAGACAAACAGATAAACAGACAAACAGACAGACAGGACAAAAACAATATACCCCCGGGATCTTTCGATCCCGGGCCATAAAAAAGGATTCCGAAAGGAATCGGAAGATTAAATGGCACATTTTCTGATTTTCTTTCCAGACACGATTAGATATGTAATTGAAAACACTGCACTAGTGAAGAATGTAGTTAAACCTAAAATTTACATCAATGGTACTTGGAGAGTATTGTGTCAGAGCAGTTGGGATGAATCAGATTCAAATGTTATTTGTAGAAGTCTTGGATTCCCTGGGTATGTCTTCGCTTTTCATTTTCATTGTAACATACACACTCTCACACATCAAAGCTATCCTCGGGACGAGAAAACTACACGGTTAACAAAGACTGATACATGTACAATAATCTTATAATCATTACCTCATTATTCTGATAATTTGTAGTTATAGTATCATACAGAATATCAAACTATGTATGATAATACAAGTTTCAAGCACTGTATTTCTTAATTTGCAGGCATCAAGCTTTGTTACGCAATTGGGAATATGGAAATTCATTTGGTAAACCTTTGGTGAACAGTATAAGGTGCATTGGCCGGGAAAAGAGGTTAACAGAGTGTAGATTTGGCACATTTAGTTCGGAGCACTGTAGTTCCAATAATGGTCTGGAAATTGAATGTTATTCCGGCGATATGAAAAGTATAGTAATATTAAAGTATTTCAATTTTTATTATATCAAATGACTTATTTGAAAATATATTTTTGAAATTTTTTTAAAGAATGAATACGAAATGGTACTTTAACGTCCAACGATAATTTAGAACAAAATTTAGTTCAATGATCTAATACCTGCTAATATTTGGGTAACATCTTATTCACTGTTACGATTACGTTTGTAGTAACCTTGGTGTTTACGGGGTGTGCCAGTGACATTGACGTTGCAAATTTCTCGAACACCTTTTTTCATCTGATGTCGGTTTAGAAAAAAACTCTTATCCACTTAATTCAAACTAAGTTTTCATAAATTCGGATAATTTCTTCAAATTTAATTTGAATATTTCCAACATATTGGATGTTAAATGGGTAGAGTATATACTTTAGAACAGTTTTTATTTTTTTTTTTAAATATTTCTCTCTTAATATATACGCATTATTTTTTTTATGATTTATTTCTATCTTTTGAATGAAAGAAGAGTAATATTTTGCTGATAATTTTCATCGGAAGAGATCGGATGCTGCAAAAAAAAAAGATAATAATCGTGTAAGAGAACTTTTTATATTTTTAAACTCTATATTACTTAAAGCGTCTTCGAAGACAAAACGGTGGATCTATTGAAGAATATTGATAAATCACGTATCTATAAAGACGTATAGGTCAAAAAATAAACAAACAAACAAACAAACAAACAAACAAAAAAAAAAAAACAAAAAAAAAAAAACAAAAAAACAAAAAAACAAAACAGGGTTGTTGAAATCTTTGATACGTAAATTTATTTGTCAGTATCTTACCTAGGTTTAAAAATTGAGCATGCTTTTGGGTATCGAAGCAGTTGGGAGACATAAACACCATATGCAGGGATTAAAGTGTACCTAACGAATATGTATGAAATAAGTAATATGTAGGAAATCATCTTTGTCAATCCTCTTCTGAAAAATAGAAAGCCATGGTTGGTCACATTGATATGCATATATCCTCAGGTAGTGCAAATTTTATTTTATTTCAATAATGATCCTCATGAGTAGAGTGAGGTCATAATAGGGATTCAAAGTGTTACATAAGAATATAAAATAAATGATTCGAATTCCTTACAAAAACAACAGGGCCTCAACATAAAACAATTATTATGCAACCATCAAATTTTTTCCTTGAGATTTTGAGGGGAATATATATATCTATATCTATATCTATATATATATATATATATATATATATATATATATATATATATATATATATATATATATATATATATCAGGTATATATTAGGGATGGGAGTTTGTTACCGGTTACTCGGTGGTCGGAACGATGGTTATCGGTTAGAAAGTCTGCAATCAGTTAGTCGGAAGAAAAAAATAAAATATGCGTAAATTTCCTAAAAATTCAATTTACAAAGTAAAAAAAAAAAAAAACAGATTCAGCCGATTTTTCTTGGTTTTTTTAATCTCATTTTTTAATTGTTTTATTTTTTAATCTCATCACAATCTTACAATTGTATACAGAGAAAAACATAAACAATGGTGACAAATTAAAACAGATTTAATAGCATTTTATTCTGGATTGAGATCGTTGGGGTAATTGGTGAATTTGTTTGTTTGTTTTTCGTTGTTTAACGTCCCTCTCGAGAATTTTTCACTCATATGGAGACGCCACCACTTGCCGGTGGAGGGCTACAAATTTTGACCTATACTCGGCACTTAGGGCCATTGAGCAGTGAGGGATCTTTTTCGTGCCAGCACCTATTGCGACACGGGACCTCGGTTTATATGGTCTCATGCAATCAAAGGGTCCGGTTTCCAAGTCTCAGTGGGATTCGAACCCGCGACGTAAGGATCAACTCCTTACTCCGCGACTCTCGAACAAACGCTCTAATCACTGCGTCATGCAGGCGACTGGGGAGTTTGTGATATGTAAGTTGCTGTTTTAAACACCATGTCGTTACCTAGCCGTCCTTATTTCTTTAATAATATCAATTAAATCAAATTTGATTATTGTGAACTGATTACAATATTAAACTTATCCCAAATATCTTTTGCAACTATTTGTCAAATTATATTTTTAAACAAACGTTGTACGTTATAATTAAGTGATAGTTCAGACTTAGTTTCTGTTTATAATGACAGTGCAGCATGACCTTCTTTAACATCTGAACTGAAAAAGTATCAATGTCTTTGATATCTCAAGGATGTTTCAAGGTTAAAAAAAAAAATTAAGTTGAAATAAAATGTGTAAAGTGTACTGAACAAGACTTAGAATGATCAGAATATCAATTACGTCTTTTTGTTTCGTCTTCCTCTGTGTATGAATTTAGTTTACTTGATAAAAAAATGCACGAAAATGTGTATTTCTTTTTATTTTGATTGTTTGAACTTCATATGTCGTAAAAATTGCGGTCTTTAAAGGTCGCAGATAGTGTGCACGGCCCAGAGTTAAAAAGTCATAAACTTTGAAGTAAAGTGTTCTGAGAAAAATGATTATTTTCTTTATATAGCAAGTCAAAGCTTCATAAAAATTAAATTTGTCGCAAATAAAGCGGCTATCGTCAATCGTCATTTTCTGATATCTTTCTCAAGTATCGCTTACTTGACAGAAAGTGAAAATATTAAGAAAAAATAACCGCAAGAAATATTTTTTCAAAAATTGACAGAAAAAGTGACGTTGGCCATCCGAACGGAACAGCGTCAAATCATAAAACTCTGTTCGCAGGTAGGTTAAGGCTTCCCATAGAATATCACAGAGCACTCTGTGCCTTCACTTCTCTGAACTACAAAATTATGACGTCATAATGGAAAATGACGTCAAATCACTGCCAACTTGAGTTGTTATGACGGGAAGAGTGTCATGAACTTTACACTTTTTTTTCAAACTGCATGTAAAATGTTAGATTGCTATAGATAGTTTTCAGTAGGCCCATATTATCAAGAGTTATTTCCCGTTGGCCGCCATATTGGAGGTCAACATGCTCATATTCCTTCATCATTCAACCAACTTTAACTTTTTATACTGGCCATTGTGGGGTAGGAAGCATTGTTTTTCTGAAAAATATACATTTGTTAAAGTCTCCTTCATTTCATAATTTTTATTCCATAAAGATTTCTCCCCAAATATTTCTGCTACACCCTCTTAAATTTGGTAAAACAAAGAGGAAAAATTACCAGGTTGACCACCAAGATGGCGGCCAAGGGAAATAACTTCGAGAGAAAATATGTTATGTGAAAACTATCTATTGCAAAATTCACGGATCGTTAAAGGTTTTTTAAGTCATATGTCCAAATATTTTTAAAATACATCGCTTACGTACCTTTGATTGAAATTCAGCATGTTCAAAATGCTTACGAAAAATATAGCGCTTCATGAAAAATATGCCTACGTGCAAGTCTGTGTGATTTATACACCAATAACTCACACTAAACTTAAAAACATTCCTTATATTTACATTTTACAAGTTCAAAAGCAGCAATATTATGCTCAATATTTGAATTTCTTGCTGCCCTGTATCGTTACATTTTTATTAACGTCTCTGTAGCCTCATTGTGACGTCACTTTACCGCGAGTTTCACCATGTATATTTCTAGGCGTGAGTATACACAAAAATAAACTTCAAATCAATTGCACAGTTGGCTTAGTAGAAAAACATAGCAAATGTAAATATTGAGGATTAATCTGAATTTTCTTGTGGAAATCTGTAAGAAGAGGTTGTTCTCTAACTGAATCTTGCTTGGGAAAAAATGTGTGATGGCTTTGTTTTAATACAGATTCCGATATTGTGTGGGAAATACCCTCAAATTTGTAGGTAAGTTGAATTTCTCACGAAATATTTTGTACCCAAGTATTACTATGACTTTTCTCGAGCACATTTCGGGTACACAAGGATACAATGAGTTTATTTATATAACAAAATGTTAATAATTATTGTTAATCGGCTGCGCCGAAGCGATTTATGTGAAACACTTCAAACAAGGAAAATTTTTAGAAATAAACTTTAAACTTTCAAATTCGGCACCGCTCTCAAATTTACTTTCAATTTTAACGTAAAGTTACTGAAAACACTTCAGCACTTCTGTGACGTGAACAAAGCTATTGTGACGTCTACTACTCTCTCGAGTTTTCGTTCAACTAACGATAACTATTGTGGGAAAATGCACTAGGTCTCCGAAGAGGTTGAATATGATGAAAAGCATGACAATGACAGGAAAATATATGAAGTTTTATGGCCCTTTCACTTGATTATCTAGAACCAATCAGATAACGCGTTGTATAGAATTATAATAATGAGGTATAATAATATGCCTTGAGCACATTTTAAAGCTTCGGGAAGCCTTAACATAGCTGCGTTTTAATTAATATAGTTAAAACAACGTCGGAGACAAAATGTTTATTCAAACAACTTTGAATTAATATAATATATTAAGTTTATTGATTTGGTTAGTATATACAATTTTTCAACAGTTTATACAATTTAAGAGACACTACAAGAAGTGGAAAACCACTGTTATTTGATGAAAATAGGATATCCTTATTCATGATGTTGTTATAAATCTAGCGCAACGTCGGACTGGGCTGCACAGCCTATGTATAAACGAAATGTTTATACTGACGATGCTCGTAAATTATCGTGTATCGATTTTGAATTCTAAAATTTAAATAAGTTTTGGCCTATACATAAATATTATTGCACACACTTGGCTGTGTGGCATAATAAAGAAAATGTAGCGTGTGTCCGTGAACATGTAATAAAAAAATCAAATTTCATATTTTTGACGTTATCATGAAATTAGCTTTACAAAGAACTGGGCCGTGCGACTTACATATACAAAGTATTTATACTTATAACATTCGTAAAAGAGTTTGTATTGTTTTAATTTTTCTATACATGTACATGTATTTACTAATTTATGGTGCCGATATATTGTCGTACACGGTCACTAAGAAAATTTTACCATTTGTCCACGAACTCTATGGACAAGAGTAGAAGGGCTACACCAAATCATATTGAAATGCTTACATTCCAACATCTTGTGGATTCATTTTTCTTAATTATTATAACTCTGGAGTTTAGAGGTGTAAATCGGCAAATTTTACTGATACAGTGTATATGAATGTTGGAGAAAATATTTTTAAAAATCTTTTTCGGATTAGCCGCTGCTGTAGCCATTTTCATATTCAACATCCCCATGCATATTGTGAAGATTCCAGTTTGGTACGGTCACGGCCCCTTTTAGGCCTTTTTTTTAAACCATAGAATGGGATCTTTTTTTCACTGCGAATATGGGGGAAGTTTTTTTTAAAAAGGGACATAGACACAGATTTGAAGTTAATATTTTCTCAAATTTTCTGTATAATTTAACAAATTGAATGCACCAAGTAAAACGTAAACATTAATAATAACAGAGCTCGTGTTCTGTTTACAAAACAGTTTACATTCCACTGGCTGTGTTCAATTTGTTAAACTCTGCACACATCACTGAGCACGGACTGACAATACTGGTAAGTTGGTTTTGCTTTCTCACATGGCTTTTCTGAATTTTCTGGATTATATTTTTAATATTTTTCTTTGATACACAACAAAATATCTACTTTTCTTAAGTATTAAGGATAAAGTTTACTTTGTGAAAGTGCAAGAAATGCGTCAATGAAATGCGTCCCGAAATTCGTAGTTTCAATAATTTCCAAAAAAATAAGTTTTTTTTATTATATTTCCTTGGGAAATGCTATAGCAACATATAAGTTGATATAATACAGAAAATTTGAGAAAATATTAATTTCGAATCTGTGTCTATGCCCCTTTAAATCTTGTTTTGAAATAAAGTAGGACCTATGTTATTCTGTTGAGCGTTGTTGAGCCCTTCGGCCTTTTGTCTGTGAGTTCCAGTAAACGGTAATACACGTATATAACAAATACTGTGAGCTAAAGGGGAGCTTACAAAGTATGGTTCAGTCCGTATTAATATGGCTTTGTTGAGTAACGCTCAACCAGGCGTAACCATGACTTAAATAAGAATAGTGCCAATCAATATCAACTATTTATTTGAATATGTTCACATTTTTTTTAAATATAAAAATCCAGTAATATGCAAAACATGAACAAAATTTTGTTTAAAAAATTGATTTTTTTAATATGCCCTGTTCACACGGAGAGTTTAACTCGAATTAAACGTAAGTTGCTGCGACTTAAATCTGATCCGCGTTTACACGGAGAATTTAATGCGATTTAGTTTAATTCGAATTAGTTTACTGCGCATTAAATAACTTTGCATTAGCTCCTTGTGAACGCTAAGCGAAGCTAATTCGAATTAAATTTTGACGCATGCGTAAGGGCAAAATTTAGTCACAGGCCACATGTCGATGGTCAAATATAGATACTTGTGCTATTTTTGAGTGGAAAACAAAGGAAAATTATGTTAATCACTAAAATGTGTACAGACACTTTGACATTTTGTCAAATGTGTATCTGCTCTGCACAATATGACGTGATTTGTAAATGACGTCATAAAAGCCTTGTAGAAATAAAATTATAATTCGCATTAGTTTACTTAAGAAATAAACAACAATGTTAAAAAGTTCTCTGGGAAATGAACTTGGTTGGTCACGTGATCAAATCCTGTGAAGCCCGAAGGCCAACCAAGTTCATTTCCCAGTGAACTTTTTAACATTGTTGTTTACTACTTTTATTTACATTTGAGACGAATATTCTGAAATGAACTGCATTTATTACACGAACGGCCCGCCGTATTGCTATGTTGTGACGCGCAATGACCTAGAAGCTGTTTGGTCTTGAGAGTTCGCCTCGCTCCAACATTTGAATACTTAACTTACATTGATGTTCAGCAATGCAGTTCAGGAAATATCTGTTCATAATGTTCATAATGAAAAATCCATGATCGCTACTGAGAATAATCTTACTATTATTGTATGAGTTCTTAATATATGAAGTCAAAAGCGATGGTATCGTCTTCAGTTTACATAACTTCAAAGGGTTAAAAAGGTAAGCGTGATTTTAAGTTAATTAAAAACATTCTTCACACCGAAGAAAGAACTAATGATCATTTGTTGAACGAAAAAAAAAAACATATCTGTTTCAATAATTTTATCTTTTTCATCGCTTTAACAGCTTAGAAGTTCCGAAACCAGTGTCACCGTGACAGAAATATATATGTAGACAAGATATCATCTCGCTGTGTGATTCGGTCACGCCATGACCTCTGACCCCCTAATAAGCTCATACAGAATTAAACATATTTTCTCTTCAATAGGTTCATCTAAGAAAAATATTTGCAAATGTAAATAATTCGCATTAGCTGTCTTGTGAACGCAATTTAATTCGCATTAGTTTAATACGCATTAATTTACTGCGAATTAAACTCTCCGTGTGCACAGGGCATTAATCTTATTCAGAGTAAATACTAAATCCTTTTTTTAATCTATTATTCTTCTATATAAAGAGATCATGAGACTTGTCAATGGAACTTCAAGCAATGAAGGGCGTGTAGAAGTGTTTATTAACGGTGTATGGGGCACTGTGTGTGATGACTACTGGGACGACAAGGATGCACGTGTTGTGTGCAGAAGTCTTGGATATTCAGGGTAAATATTTACTGTACATGTATTTATATATCACATATATTATACAGTTAATAATTATTAACGACATACAATGTACTTTGATTGTATTTTTTCATGTTCATTCCATAGAAACTCTACTGCTCGCGGAAGTGCCTATTTTGGACGAGGATCGGAACCTACTTGGTTAGATGACGTCAAATGTCAGGGGACTGAGTCATCCATCTTCGATTGTGATCAAAATAGCTACGGCAACGAAAACTGTAGTCACTCTGAGGATGCTGGTGTAACATGCAAATAGTTTATGCTTCAAAGTTGTTAAAATTCTCAACAGTTATTTGCGTTTAGTACTCTGTGTGTGTGTGTGTGTGTGTGTGTGTGTGTGTGGGTGTGTGTGTTTGTGTATGTTATTTCAGTGATTAATAAGGGAATCAATAATTGTTTAACTGCAAAGCGATATCAATGTCAGTAAAAATAATTATTTCAATAATTATACTATTACCATTCTATAAAATAAACTTTAAAAGACTATTTATTATTTAAAATAAATCCATTTGATTACAAGCCTTTTTGATAAAGACAATTTAGATTTAAATAAAGTTTGATATTGTATCTCAGACTTTGCAGTCTAGCTTTTTACGAAATAAACATTTGGCTTTTATCAATTTATTGCATAGTTACAATTATTATCTTAATGGGATGGGGGAGAAGTGTAATTACATGTTTACTGTATAATTGTATTGTTTATAACCAAGAACCATACAGTTCATACGTATACAGAGAAGTATCGTTTACCCGCACGACGATAATCCGGTCGATTCAAGTTTCGAACGATTTCCTTGGGGGTGGGGTGGGGATTTTTCTAACGTTATTTTATCTCAATAATCCGGAAAGTGCGTTTGTGTCGATTTTTACAACGAAAAGTTATTTATCAATGAAAATACGTAGTTTCATCAACTTTCAAAGGTCTGTTGACTTCGGATAGATCGACGGACAAATATAAATTGTTATGAAATATTGTGGTAGACATGAAGATTAATCACCCGTAATTAGGTACATGTATTTACCTATGTGTTGACTAATCAACCTCACTAGGTTAAAGGGGCCTGGACACAGTTGAATTGTTTACAGTTTTAAATGTCTATATTTTCTTCATGAAAATAACTTCAGTTTAATGATTTGAACTTACATGAATATTTTCCTTCATTGAGCCGCCAGGCTTTACTCTGGTTTAAATGGAATATCATGTCACAGTTAGTCCACGTGTAGCTTCTTTTAAAGTGATCAAAATAAAGATATTCCTCACACCTGAGTGGTTCTTGTACTGTATCTGACCATTGTCCGTGTCTCTTACGAGTTAATAACATACTTTCAGTGCAAAAAACTCTATTTAATATATCTTTAAAAAAGATGCCAAAATTATCATATACCAGTTCCGAAGACGAAGGAATATTCCCGCTGACGTTGTACAATTATTCGCTTCGGAACAGGAGTCGGCTTTTGAAAATCATCTTAATGACAAGGAAGCAGCTCGAGAAAATTCGAGTCGACCAAATACGAGAAGCAATGTCCACGCTTCCACATCGACGGGCAAAGGCCCTGGAAAAAACAAGAAAGGTAAAGCCCCTGTGAAGAAGGTATCAAAACGTAAAAACGACGAAAAACTTACTTCAAACAAGAAACCAAAAGAGGATGTTAATCCTTCACAAATTAATTCACTTTTGCAAGAACTCGATCAGATAATACTAGCACTTCTTCCTAAAAATTAAAATAAAAGATTATAAGGTCAAATATCATTTTTCATTATTCTATCTCCATATAATTGTAGATTCTAGGGCTGGGACGATACAACATTTTCTATATCGATATGTATCACGATATTTGAGCCACGATACGATATGTATCACGATATGTTGAATTAGTTATAAAAAAAATTTTTGTATTGAAATGAACAAAACATTTCTTCACAAATGAGAATAATTTATTCAAAGAAGTTGTATATCTGTTGTAAAACAAAATTATTTTACACAAGTGGGGTTTATTATTATGTATTTCATATTTATATTTATATTCTGCATATTTATTTTATATATCTAATCCAAAATATTAAGCAAACAAAGGAAAAACATGTCAGAAATTGTTTTTGCGATATTTCGATATTTCTTCATACGTATCGATATGCGTATCATCCACACATTGAATCGATATTATCGATATCTCGATATATCGTCCCAGCCCTAGTAGATTCTAAATGAAATTTGCTTCAGTACCTTTTGGATTTCATAAAATCAAGTTATATGTACAACCTACCTTAGACAGCGATCTGTGACTCAAAGGAAATAATCTAACCTGACAACAAAGATGAATTTCCATTAGGCAGGATAACTCCTATCTATAACCCGTTTCTTTGTACTAGTATAGCATAACATAGAACATCAAAAAATGCCGTGCATTTAAAATAAACTTATTCACTATATATTATATTATTCATTAAGCAGATGTTGCCATTAATTAAAGTAATGAAACTGCATAGAACATACCTAACGTGAAAATATGTTATGTCTATAGAAGAAAACTATAAACAACAGGGAGGTAATCAAACACCAAAACACCGCTTCAATATACTTAAAAATGAGTGACAAAAATTGCTTCCTCTGTTCAAACTGTGATTTTGCATAAAAATATCTAATTATATTCGGCAACTTTTAATCGGTGAAGCAACTTGAAGCAGGCAGAAATACCATTGTAGATAATTTTTTTCTGTTTGACGAATTCATAAAAAATGCGTTTAAATTGTTTTTTGGGTTAACATTTCAAGTTGTAATTGATTAAATCTTACCAAAAATTGCTTTCCATGAACCTTCAGAAATTATGTTTACCTTGTTCGGACAATGTCATACACCAGGGAAGTGTTACAAATAGAATTCGCGGTGTATTGCTTGTAAACTCACGAGCAATAAATATCAATAGGTCACAACTTCCGCTATTTAGAGTTATCGTTCTTTGTCTCCCCCTAGCGTTCAGTAGAAATGCTAGATAATAATATATAGGAACAAGTTGCTGTCCTTTAAAAAAGGACTGCAATACATGGACCATATGCATGTGTTTCGAAACGAAATTCAAAGAAAATTTCTAGATTTAGTGAGTTTACAAAGGTGTAATTAAGTTTAATCTTTTTTTTTCTAATTTTCATCGTTATTTAAGTCTGTTTAATTAGGCTGTAATGATAAGAAAAATCATGACCTTGAAATGATGTGAATATGAAATGTTGATCTAGGTATCTATCACAATTGTAATTTAGCTTTTAAAATTAACAACAGAATTAAAAGAGGCTTAAGCGTGCAGGTATCGTAATCTCCATTGGCGTATCCAGGGAGGGGGGGGGGTTCGGGTGTTGGAACCTCCTTTTTTTTGCAGAAAGAGGAAGAGAGAGAGAATGTTTATTCTGTAATACATGTTTTTTTTTACATCTAGTATTTTCAATAAAATATGAAGTACTTCAATCTCTGCCCTTTCTGCTCTCTAGATAGAGTTTTGCTTATTGCTTCCTCCGTGTACCTTCACAATACCGGTCCCGGGCCTCGACCACCCACATGTAACTTGAAATATTTCACTTTGATATCATCGGATGATTCCAGCGAACGAACGTACGGCTATGCCATTTTTGGACCATCTTCTAAAGTAACTAACTTTAAGAAGTATGCATAAAAAGTCATGAAAGGAAGTATCCATAAGAGAATATTATTCTTTACAAAAATTTTGATATTTCTTATGCAAAATTTGTACATGACAATTAATTGTCATGTACAAATTTTGCTTAAGAAATATCAAAATTTTTGTAAAGGACAATATTTATCTCCTTATACTATAGGGATATTTTAATCATTGAAGAGAAAGGTTCAAAATGTCCCGTAGTATGTGGGGGAGGGGGGCTCACTTTTTCTTTAAAAAATCTTTTGTTAGAATTTGAATGTATAAGTTTTAATCTGCATAGGGAGCTCCCCCGCCCTTTTTATTGCGGAAAGGTTCAAAATACAGAAAATCAAACATTTAAAAGAAATCAAAATGTACCCGAAAAGTTAGACGAAGTCCCCCCCCCCCCCCCCCCCCCAAATAGGATTTTAGAGGGTGGTGCACAGGTTGTTAATTTATTTATTTATTTCTGCTTGTCAACTCTTTTTGGAGGTTGCACCCTTTGAAAACCGTTGCTACGGGCTTGAATGTAAGTGCCTGTGGTGTGACTTAGACCCCCCCCCCCCTTTACTAAAGGGTCTCGAGTTATCTTAAACAATGCTAAGTTATCGATTAACTCGATCAATTTAAAAACACAAAAAAGAGATTAATTTTGTGTTTGTGTGTGTTTTGTCTGTCTCATTTAAATAACGGAATGGTTAATATACAACAACTGCAATCGTAACTTCTCGGCAGAAGGTCTGAGAATCTTATCGCACGTGTGTAGACCTAGGCTATTTGGTCTTGCAAGCACAGGTGTGTGTATTGTTTGCTAGTGACGCTTAGACTGGTGACGGTATTTGCTACAAACATGAAGAACTATACACCAGTTTCATAAAATGTACAGATTTTTTTCTAGTGAAAATTGGAGTAAATTAAAAGTCGAATATTTTGGATACGGGGTAACCCATATCTGTTCTTGTTACAACGACCGTCAATGCATCCATGGGCGAGTTCATTGGTTACTCTGAAAGGTGGCATAGGTTTATCTTTCGTTAACATTTTCTACAATGATCTGCTTACTTTGAGTGATTGTACTTTCATAGCAAAGTTGTTAAATTTTATTCCCGATTGGCCTATAAGTTTTGTCATTTAACTGAAAAAAAATCGGGCTATTTCGATACCTGTAATGCTTAACGGCTGGGACTTGACATCTGTACTAGATTTATACGGAAGTATCCTATCATTGGAAAGATAGATGGTACACGTGTAGCACAGATCTGTAGTACGCAGAATTTTTTTTTTGGATGTTTCTCCCTCTCCCCCACATGGAAAAACATTGCTACAGGCCTTTATCAAGCTATATTTGGATTGCTGTCTATCAAATTATTTTGCAAACCTTGATGCACAAAACTAATGCCGGTAAACATGGCAAAGACTATCTTTTAAAACCTAGTGTTTTAATTCAACATGTTCAAGCTGTTAAGCTATCTTTATAAGTTCTTCCTACTTATTTAAAATGCTTGTACCATAGAATTTAGTTTGTATATAAGGATATATGTGTTAAAGAGAAATTCAGATCTTGGTTACGCCAAAGAATACATAAATACGATGTGCAGATTTTAGAGCGAGGTTTGCCAATGATTGGCATATTCTAATTCGAAGAGGGCGAATTGTTCTACGGGCAAGTTGTCTTAGAGGCGAACTCTCTAGCATCCTCGCGCATGCGTAGCCTGACGTAAGCCCATGGCATCCGGTTTAACTCCGCTAATATATTTTCTGCGTGGACCTCAGGGTCCACGCAAGGAGAGTACCAAATCCCCGGATGTACACG